AGAGAGAGAGAGAGGGAAAAATGTCCAATTAAATTGGGGTGGGGGGGGGGGTTTATACCAAGGTTGTCTCGCAGGGCACTGGCCTCCCTATAAAGGTCAAAGTTGAAATTCCGGATCAACTTCAGTCTCATGCGGGAAAAGTTCTCTGCGCTGGACAGCTTCCAGTGCATCTTCTTTGGCTGCCTGTTACATCAAGGTGAAAGTTTTCTTCAACAAGATGCTACATCTTAAATGTGAATGACCATTCAACTTTCCTTCAGTGGTCACATCTGCCATATCATCATCATCATCATCAATTATGTTCTTTGAGCACCTTGGAGGTAGAAAAGTGCTTATACAGTTGAACTTCTGAAGTTGTAAAATTGAGTTAGCCCAATATCTCCAAGAGATGTGTTTGAACAGTCATGCATGATTATCATTCACGTGAGCTGTAAGCCTGGAAACATCAGTTGAGCAAATATCAAAGGATAGTTGTGAAGGTGTGCGTTGGTTTTTCTTGAGCTATTTTACAAATCATATTCAAAAAGAAGACTGCTTTTATGGATGCCGTCAGACTCGAGATTGTGGTCGGCCATACATAAAAAAAAAAAAGAAATGCAAACCACTATCATTACCTTTCAGCCCAAGGCCCCCTCTCACACACAAGGCCCCGCCGAGCAGCCTTCCACTGCCTGAGAGAGGCGCTGTTCTGGCTATGTTGTTGCTTTAACATGCTGTTGTACCTCAGGTTCTCCTGACGACTTTGGCGAGAGAATGGCTCAACAAATTGTTCCTGAAGTAAAAAGGGAATGGGTGACATGTTAGTACAGGGCAATTTCTGGGTTTCGTTTGAATCCAACAGAAGGATTCTAATTAACCTGGAAGCACATCTTGCTCTCCCCTCTATCTCGCTCTCTCCTATGCAGGCTGACCATGAAGGCCTCATAGCACTCCTTCCAGTAAAGTGCCATACTCTCATGGCCCTGACTGAAGGTCTCAAGTTCATACTGCTTCATGTATGGAATGATCTAAAAATAAATTGGAGGAACATCACTAATGCTGTCATCTCATCATCTCAAACATGTCACAGTACATTTCAGACTCGTACATATTTGTCCAGATAGACACGCCATTCGGGTGAGTTGCAGTATACTTGAAAATCCTCGAAAAAAGATGGGCTGCCATTGGTATCAGGCAGTTGGGGCAAATGCAGCTCCATATAGAGGAGACGGTGAACTTTGGAGAGGAGTGTTCGCAACAGAGGAACCAGGAATGAGTATGTTTCCTCTGTGTTCTCCTGGACAGAGCGCCGCAGGATGCACTCAACCTTGCCGAGCAAGTAGCAGGCCTCATCCTGGCTGGACACTTCCTTCATTTGTAGAATAAAATTGAGTTTAGCAGTGGCTACTGCACACACCTGTGATGTGAGAAAAACACCACGTTATGACAGAAGTTGTTTTTTACAATTATTGACAAAAACAAAATGAGGACAATGTTTCACCTCTGGGTCCTCTTGTGCCATGAAGCCGAGCAACAATCTCAGTCCAACTTGGGAAAGCTCGAACCACTGGGTGCCAGCAGAATACCACACCATGAGACAGTCCATCAGTGTCACAGTCTCCTCCAGCACCTTCTCTGTCCAGAGTGCCGGGTTGACCAGGCCCTCTGCTTGCAAGAAATCTTGTACCACGTGAAGTAGACGGACCGCGTTCTCAGTGTGTTGAGGCAATGTGGCAGCAGATGCCTCACGGTTGTCAATCACGGCCAATTCCAACATACGTTCCATGAGACTAGAAAGAGGGGGCACAGAGGGAGAGTAAACATTTAGCTAAGCTGTATGTGGAAACATTTAACCTGCTCCTGTAGCAATTGCAGTAATGTCATCACTCTGGTCGAGCACAAACCTGAGTTTGATTTGGTCAACAGGAAGTAGCAGCTCATTGGCTGTTCCCAATTTGGTGAGTGCTGAAAAAACCTGGCCACGCTCCAGCCACGCTGAGTCATCAGAACCTTCAACTCCACGCCACATCACACACAGCAGAATCTCCAGCAACATACTGCACAATTCTTCCTCAGCCCGCTAGAAGGCCATGACAAATAAAGTAAAATACATAAATAGGAATAGTTTTCAGTTCTTCAAGACAATGTAAGCTTTCAAGCAAACTTTCATTCACCTCAGTATTATTAAAGGACTCCCCCAGGGAGACGTTGTCATTGAAGAGGAAGGTGTCTTCAGTCAATGGGGCTGTGTGATCTATACTTCCAGAGTTGCCTGGAAAGGGCTTTGGTGCTTCTACTGGAGAGGGTGTGCTCGGCATACTGCCAGGTGTCTGGCTGCCACTCTCTAAGCCCTCGTAGGTCTGGAGGTGAGACAGGTCAAGTGTCAAGCCACCAGATTTTCCCACGAGCCAAGGCTTGACTTGTGGTTGTGGCTCAGCCGAAGCGGAAGATGACGGAGTGTCCAGTAGTGAGATGACATCGCTGTTCTCCATGCTGTCTACTGAGCGAGTGTCACCCATGCTTTGCCAGTCATTCTCTATGCGATCCAAGCGGCCAGCACTGCTTGCCCTTGTTCTACGGTGTAGCGGCAGTTCCAGGCGGTTACTATTGGCTCCACTGGGTTGGTTCAAGTCCAGGCTGCAGGTGCTGACTGTGTCTGCACTTCGCGATGGCAATGAGCCTTCACCTCGCATGTACAGTCGTGCAAGGGTATCCTGCCAACACTGGTGCCTCGAAATGTGGCAAGCAGCATCTTGTTGGGACTGGAGGAGTTGGTACACCTAGACATAAAGAGGGATATTAACATGCCTGTGAAACATGAGGTGAGATTTTACTCTTCAGGGTAGATGTTTCAGATTTGAGAGTGATTTGGCGAGATTTTTTTGGGGGTCACGCATGTGAGTATCTGACATGTAAAAAGTTGGTTAAGATGTGATGAATCTTTCTTTATGTGGACCACGCCTTAGTACAAAGTAAGTAGTAGTAGACAATAGCAAAACATGTCTTGCTATTAAAAAAAAAAAAGTGTAAAGTAGTAGTAGACAATAAGACCAACATGTCTTGCTATTAAAAAATAAATAAATAAAAAAAGGAAGAATGAAGGTTCAGAGAAAGTAGTTTGTGCTTTCTCACCCTCTTGCAGACAATGAGCCGAATGCTGGGTCCAGTTCGATGAGTGAGCTGAACTAGTGCCATCAGATCCTTGTAGTTGACCACTTGATCTGAAAAGCACACACATGCAGATTACACTTGGTTCTCTTCCGCTGACCCATCAATAATTATTATTGTGAAAAGAAAAGCCGACCTGTGTGCAGGACCTGATTGAGGAGACAACGAATGAGATTCGGTGTGATGTGAAGATCGGAGAAGAGCAGTGACAGGCCGTTGTAACCCGCCTCCCTCAGCCTCAAACGCTGCTTGTTTTTCTCATAGATGCGATCACATCGTAACATGCGCTCAAACAGCTGTGCAGATTAAGGATGAAAATTTAGTAAATCCTACAAGTTCAGAGATGAATGGGGGCAATTTTGTTTTTCAGGTGGAATTGGCTGTAACCTACCTTGAAGACAAGTTCTCGAAGGCGGTCTGAGTATTTATTGTTGAGCAGAAGCGCATAGCAAGAGTCAGCTGCTCCAGGCTCAAAGAGGAGCAGAAAGAGCTGATCCCTGGATGGACTGCTCTGAAGGAGGCTGAGTAACATCTCTAATAGCCCACAAATCTTCAACACACAAAAATACCTTAATATAAGTGATTGATGAGAGAATATGTCTGATATGTTTCATCCTTGGACAAACTTCTACAATTCAGTTGACTGCTGTGATCTGTGGGGAATAGGGTCCGGTACGTTAGCCCACGAAAAGCATAAATAATGTATATACTTGAACAACAAAGTGAATGGAGGAAAAGTGGTTAAGACGGCACGACTGTCTGTTTTATGTGTTGTGTTGTATTATTTTGTCATTTTATGTGCAGGGGAGGTGGACACACCAACATCCACAAAAAAAAAAAAAAAAAAAAATTCAAAAAATTGCGAATATGTAAATCTGCGAGTGCCGAACCGCGACTAGGTGGCGTCCAGTGTAATCCAGTTACTAAACGTATCATTGTGAATCTCTTGGTGGTATTTGTGGTATGCGTTTATTGGTGTAAATACCTGAAGGGTGGCTGTGTACCAGTGGCAGATGCTGGTCTGTCAAGGAGGGGAAGCTCAATTTCGGCCTATATCATAAAATGTGTCCGTTTATTTTGTATGTGAATTCTACTCTCCGTTCCTTTTCAAGAAAATGATCTGTGACCCTGTGGTGATATAAGTCAGTCTGCGAACACAAGCAACTACAATAAAGCCCACCAGAAATAAAAGATTAATTTGTCGCTAGTCACTTTCAACAAAGAGAGTGTTGCTAAAATGATTAGAAGAAGTCTCCAGTTCAACTCAGAACAGAATGAGAATTGAAAAATGCTCCCACGGATGCCTACACCAAAAGATCGGTGATTGGCTCATTTCGCTGTCAATCAAAAAGAGATTCAGCCTCAGACAAATCATCCAATCATCATGCAGAAAAGCTCAGCGTCCGGGCCAACCCATAAACGCCCACTGGCCATAGACTCCCAGAGACACTGAGCGTCCGATGAGCGGGACAAAACCAGCATTAACCAATGACTTGTCTCGTTTCAATGCATTGGGACAACCTACTCTGAACTCTCGAGACGTGCAGCGTCCGCGCTGCAGACGCTCAGCGTCCGTTTAAAGCACAGTGAAGCTGCTGGATTGATTGAGAAGAGAGTCGCGTCGTAACCAGTAATAAGAAGCTGATTGGGAACAAAGGTTGAGGACGTTGTAGCGCATATTTAGTCAATGACATGTCTACACAATTGTATGTACACAAATACATTTGATCACTTACTTTTTGACATTTTAGGGGAAGGTGAGCTTCCCTTACAGTCATAGAGCAATCGCCTCTGCTGTGTACTGTCTCAATGTATGTAATATGTTTCAATCTGACACAGACATAAAGTATGGCCAGGTAGCCTGAATGGTCAATTTTACTAGTTGTCCAGATTTTATGCTAACAAACACAAAAATATCTCAAAATATTAAAGCAGGAAAGAGAAACAAGGAAACATTTGTTCCCTGCAACCTCCTCCCCTCCAATCTTAAAAAAAAAAAAAAAAAATGCTGATAAACATTCATTGTGCATTTTTTGAGGGGTGAGGTGGACACACTAACAACAAAAAAAAAATAATTCAAAAAATTGCGAGTATGTAAATCTGCAAGTGCCAAACCGCGACTAGGTGGCGTCCAGTGTAATCCAGTTACTAAACGTATCATTGTGAATCTCTTGGTGGTATTTGTGGTATGCGTTTATTGGTGTAAATACCTGAAGGATGGCTGTGTACTGTCTCAATGTATGTAATGTGTTTCAATCTGACACAGACATAAAGTATGAATAGTCAATTTTACTAGCTGTCCAAATTTTATGCTAACAAGCACAAAAATATCTCAAAATATTAAAGGAGGAATGAGAAAAAAGGATTCCTGACATGAAATGAGCCAGTAATTTCCTGGGGAAGCACAACTGCAGTAATTCCCACTGGAGTTTCTTATGTAACGAAAGACACATCATCGTATTACCTCAGTGAAGGTTCTTATGTTTGCTTTCCAATTACTGTTTCTTCTTCTTATTGTTCGTATTATGTTTCGTATTATTGATACCGTAGGTGTTTTTGAAACTGTGTGAAGTGGGTAATAGACCAAGTCACAAACCACCAAATGTTGGCTGTTCTGGAAAAGGAGCCGTTTGTGACATTATTTCCCCCACATTTTTAAATGTTTCAGTTTCTTGGAAACAACACATGAATCTTAATGGCAGGCATAATGCAGGAGTGGGACATCTATGAAGCTAAACTGTTGATGGAGGACTGTGTTTAGCTTCATTCCAATACCAGTTTTATCACATATGACTAAACAAGAAAGCATAGAGTCTAATGTTAAGAAACCCATGACTGTTGGCTAAGGTTAGCGAAAGCGCATTTATGTCAGGGTTTGTTCAAGGTCGCAAATGTTCGGCAGACATTGTCGCAAGGAAATCTTGAACGTGTTCCCTTGTGACAAGAAAAGTACATGTGAACGTTGGGTGACCATTTGGCGAACGTTTGCAACCTTGAACGAACCTTGACGAGAATGCAATATTAACTACCTTCGCAAACACTGCCAAATGTTCGCCAGTCAGGGATAGGGGTTTTAAGGTGCTAGGAAAAGGTAGAATGATTTAAAATCTGACAAATTAAGCTATCTAAGCTTCAGCTAACCAGTGGCCTGAATGATGACTAGTGCTATAGGAAATGGATGGATGAAGGCAGTTTGGTCACAGTTAATGCGGTGCCATTTAGAGTTCCTCACCTGATCTTCATCCCCAATGGCAGCAATGTATCCAATAATGCTGTGCATCTCTTCCTGTGACATGCCCTTGCTGATGTAGTATTTGATGAGGTCGTAGAGCGACATACGGATGTTCAGAATGTCATCCTCACTCAGGTCACTCTCTTTATTACTGTTTTTCCTAAAGTAAAAAATCGATTTTGATTCTCTGTCAGATAAGACTTCTTTAGCATGAGCCAGAAAAGTTAGAGAATCGAATCTCACCCATAATAGAGGCGTATGTTGTCCAAAAGGAATCGGACTCCATATTTTTTACGGAACTGCTTCCTGTTGTCTTTGATGACAGTGGTCATATACTGTATATGACCTTCAAAAGAAAACAACACAGGAGAACTCAGAACTACTGAAAGTAATGCTATGTCCCCAATTTAGTATTTTAAATGTGTATTCTTTTCTTTCAGAGATCAAGATCTGACCTATACGTAAAGGGAAGTCCCCTTTGTTCCAGATGTTGAAGTTGAACAGTAGATGTGTGTGAAGTTGCTGCAGCAGGCCCTGGTTCTTCTCGTACGTCACCTGCTCTATCAGCAGCTGCATAGCTACGAGCACATTGACATCAATGTGTCCTGCTGGAAGCTGAAAACATACAAACATAATATACTGTGTAGTGTATATGAATTCACAAATGACCCTAACCAAAACACTAGACCCGGAGCTCACTGGAATGCAGAGAAAAAAAGTGTTGTTTAGCTGCAGATTTACTATTAAGAGGGTGTGGTGGCTTTGCCAAGCGAAACCATTTCCCGCATTTTTAACCCACATCTCCATTGAGGCTTTTATTTTGTCATGGTCGAAATATTGATTCTGATATACTCCTGATATGCTCCTATATTCCCCTCAGATGCCCCTTTGTTTCTGTAAAGGACCGAAGAAATAAATTTGTCACATGGAAGGAAGCCGCAAAGCCTAAAACCAGTTTTGCATTTTTGTACCCATTACTCAATTTGTGATCACATAATTTATTCATTCCTCCTGTCTCAAAATATAACCCACTCAAGTGTGTGAGTGTGATCACATACAAGTGGGTTAGTTAGTGATTGATTGTAAAAGACTTTGTGGAATTCAAGTGGCCACAAGTGCTTCACTCACAGAGAACTTCAAGTGGACGCTAGTGACCTTTTGATCACACACTGAGCTAGTGAACTTTGCACACAGCGCCAACATTCCTTGCTGGGCCCACTAGACACAACTGTGGATGTAAAAAAACAGCCTCACAGACACACCTTCTGCAGTAGGGCTCCTAGAGTAGCAACACCATGCGAGTGGAGCAGATTCTCCTGGTTTATAGCATGCCTCTGTAGAAAATGCTTCAGCACCAACAGTAAAGTAGCCACCAGATTCTTCTCCAGGCGTGCTTCTGATACAGGGCATTAAAAATGAACATTTCATCTGCTGCTCTTGAACACGTTGGGCTGGTAAATACTGTAAATTTACAGAGTGATGCCGACAACAGACCTGAAGCCCTATTTGATGGGAGAATGACCCATTCTCCATCAGCAGGAGTGGTAACATCTGGGGTGATGAAGTCTGACCCAGTTGAAGCATCACTATTCTGTTGATCAGGGGTCATTAGAGCCAGCTGCTCTAGTATAGGAAACAGCACTTGCAGCCCGCCTACGCAATTGATCATATCCTGTCAAAGATACAGAATACAATAAAAATAACTATTGTTCTGTGCACAGTATGATAACGTGAGAGAATTTTAGGGATGCCCGACCTTGACGTCCCAGTTAACAACTTTCTTCCCAGTCAGGCGTCCTTGTAGTTTGTTGGGGGAAAGATCGAGGCAGATTGGGTTTTGACATGCCTGTTGGTTTAAATTTATGTGAGACTAGGTACATAGTGTGGATTATTTTTAAGACCAAGAAATTACCTTTGGCGAGTAATGCAGCAGCAGTTTACTTGAAAGGTCACCAAGTTCTGACTCCTGGGCTTTTAAAGGAGACACACAGTTTGGACCTGTGTAGAAACAACATGTCATTCAACATGATTTACAATTTCCTTTTTAATTCTTCATCTGTACATCGTCTCCATCTGTTTACCAGCACTACAGAGGATTTTAATGTGGTTGGGTTGCAGGGCTTCGTGGAACACCATGACACTCGCCAGCTGACCCTGCAAAGATGTGGGGCTTCCCCACTCACTGTCCTGGGTCCCTGCTGAAATGAGCTTTGTCACAGACTCAGGCTTTCCGCTCAGTAGTCCGCCCCAAGTGTGCGGCGAAAGGATGCTACCCAATGAGGAACGTGTGCTGGGTGAGGTGGCTGAGGAAATGGGGGGGTCTGGGATCTGGGAGGGTGGCGGAGTTGTGGTCCGGTGGCCCGCTGAGCCAATGCAACAGGAGGTAAATGGCTGCGGGAGGGATAGACATCATTCCGAGTAAGCATTCACTTACTATTTCACAATGAATAACTGTGCATTAACTAGACATTATGCTTTAAAAAAATTGTGATTCTAACTATCGCAAGTGACAGTTTCACCTCAGTCATGGTGGGGTACTTGAGGGGGGCAGATAGCTTCTGCTGTCCATCCACATAAATGTAGACGAGGCTCTGTCCAAATGGCCTCTTTCCAGGTACATGCACCACACCAATGCTGTGCTGTTGACAAGAATAACATGCAAACCATACTTATCCTGCTTGAGTTGATGTGTGCTATGCCTTAAACACAAAACATTATTGACAAGGCAGACAATATTTGGCAATAAATTGCCCTAACTTTACAAATTTGTTACAGCTTTTTGCTGTACACAGCATACAGGAACAGCATGTCACTCACCCAGAGGGAGTCACAGAAGCAGTTGTCGGGCAGCATGACTGTGACGTATTCCTTTTTTGTGCAAACAGCCACCACCAGTACACCCGCAGAGCTAATAAAGGCCTCAAACCCCGTGCCACCCGAGGTAAAAAAGCTGCACGGTTTGAAAAATGGGGGAAAAAATTTCTGGATGAAAAACGTTCTTATTTGTTAGCAATGTCCTACTCAGTAAGCTAATGTATGTGCTTTATGAATTGTTCTCTCATACATACAATATTGACACATCTAGTACAAAGGCAAATATAAGTCAAAATACTGTAGTTCATTATACTACATATACATATATATATATAT